ATAAGACGAAGAGCCACTCATAACTGAAGGTTGCACTTCAATATTCAAGAGAGTATTAAGTGGTTAGGACCAACTAAGAGGGTCAAACATAACACCTTGACCGTCAAGCCAACTCTCACACTATTGGTTGATTGGATTGGACAATTAATACTAAAGTTGGGCCAAAGAACTGCTCCATTCTGAACCGCCAATTCTATAGTCGAAAGTACATGCCATTGGATGTGTAATGAATATTAAATAAACCGCAGCGTTCTCGTAGCACACCACAATGTTATTATAACATTGATGTAGAAACAGTAATATGAATTATATATAAATATATGTAGATTTAATAAATATTAGGTCCATGACCATCAATTAAGTAATTCTTTTAAAATAGTTTTAAAACAATTGATGGTAATGGACCATCAATTAAATAATTGTTGAACATTAAAATGGTATGAAATACCGACAGATTGTTAGGTAAGACACATATGCAACAGTTAGGTTTCTTTATTTCGAAACGTTTCGCCTACACAGTAGGCTTCTTCAGTCGAGTACAGGAAAGTTGATAGAAGCAGAAGATACTTGAAGACGATGTAATCAGTCCATCACCCTTAAAGTTTTGAGGTGGTCAGTCCCTCAGTCTGGAGAAGAGCATTGTTCCGTTGTCTGAAACAATAATTGTTATAATTATTTTATATACTAATGTGAACATTAGTATATAATAACTATAAGAACAAATTGGCAGGTCCACGAGTAGCTCGTTCATTGTTTCATAAAGGAATCGGTTACATGGGACAAAACATGGAAACAATACCAATATAATGACGCTAGTAGCACCAACGATCTACATTCGTCTCATCTCTTAGTGCCATATTCTTTAATTCATTAAATTTGTTTTATTAGGGAAGTTTGAAAGAAAGAGGATTTTTTACCGTTTCATTTTTCACAACGATATACAAGACTGTATAAACCGATCACCAGGTAATAGTAAACTAGACTTGTTTTAGTGGCTGCCACTTGTACCTCAGTGTACACAACAGAGATAGTGCAAGGCGGACATGTGTTCCTAACACACCCAAAATATATATATATATATATATATATATATATATATATATATATATATATATATTTGTGTCTTGGAAAGTCTGTAGGTGTGTGCAGGTCTTGATTTAATAGGAAAGAATGTGAATGAGTTTATTTCCCTTCATGGAATACATGAGAATTTTTCTGGTTTCTCTGAGGAAGGACGAAGTTTCTCTGTCCAGTGTTTGACACACAAACCCAACATATCATTATGCATCATCGCTTACGGGATGGGCCGAGCACCTCACACACTGGTAAGTGAACATTAAAATGGTATAAAATACCGACAGATTGTTAGGTAAGACACATATGCAACAGTTAGGTATCTTTATTTCGAAACGTTTCGCCTACACAGTAGGCTTCTTCAGTCGAGTACAGAAAAGTTGATAGAAGCAGAAGATACTTGAAGACGATGTAATCAGTCCATCACCCTTAAAGTTTTGAGGTGGTCAGTCCCTCAGTCTGGAGAAGAGCATTGTTCCGTTGTCTGAATGGTATTTTATACCATTTTAATGTTCATTCTGTCAGACACTGCAACACAAGGGTATCTTGGTACAGACCATCAACTTCGACCTCTACTAGTGAGAACGGCTGGGTTTGAGAGGGACCTGCCCTCCCAAAGCAACCTACGTCTCACCTCCTGGCACTATATAAAGGCTCCATCCTGTCACTTCAACTTCATATTGTTTCAGACAACGGAACAATGCTCTTCTCCAGACTGAGGGACTGACCACCTCAAAACTTTAAGGGTGATGGACTGATTACATCGTCTTCAAGTATCTTCTGCTTCTATCAACTTTTCTGTACTCGACTGAAGAAGCCTACTGTGTAGGCGAAACGTTTCGAAATAAAGATACCTAACTGTTGCATATGTGTCTTACCTAACACACACACTGGTAAGTGTTTTAGTTGAACACCTTCCCAAAATACTGGGCACAGTCAGCAGCTGGCACTTCCGACATTCAAGAGACTCATTAGTTTGGACGTTGTCTTCTTCATTCAAGTCGGGAAAACCAGCAAAGAGCACTGAATATGCCTTCAGGAGAAATAAAACCAGTAATGCTTACATAGTCTATTTATTCTCACGTCAAGGACAGGGAAAGAACACAGCTGTTACGCCGCTAGATTGACAGAACCAGACGCATAATTCTAGAAGCAGTAGTAATCGATTTTACCAAGACCATTGGAATGCACATGTCGGATACACCTGCTGCAAATAAGTAAGAGTGTAAGCTTTAGGTAATCTTTGTGTACATAACACACAAATTGTTAACAATGCTCTTGTGGTCACATACGTAACCAGATAAACTCAAACACTGATACTTATTTTTGATCAGGAGGTATATATGCCTTATTTCACAGCAACCAATTTGATTAATAAAGCTTGTACGTTATAACTCACACAACCTAACATCAGAAGACACCTTCCTTTGAGAAACACAAGCTACCTATAAAAGTTTAAAGCTGACCAGACGATGCATTTTCCGTAAATTTTACCCAAGATACATTATACCGGTATTAAAAATCTGAAGCCGATCGATCAAGATCTCGAGTGATTAATGTAAATTTGTGAAAAAGTTAATGAAAACGTTGCTGATAATGTTCCTAAAATAGGAAAGTCTCGTTTAATTTAAAAATCGTTAGTTTTACTTTCTCGTTTACATTCTAATTAAAATTCTCTACAAATCTATAAGAAAAATATTTGATTTTGATTTTTAAAAAAGCCCAAGTTGATGAAATTGGCAAAAACGGCAATTTTCACCCACTTAGCACAAAATTAAAACGAGAAATACTTCCAGTAAGATACACCAGCAATGAAGGTTTGAAACCAATCAGAAAAGGCATTCTCTAGTTTTTACATGGGAAACAATTGGCTTAATAAAATTAGGAAAATCTAAATTTATACAACCCAGAGAATATGACAGGTTTTATTTTAATAAAACCCACCGATGGTAAAAGTTTGAAGCCGATCAGAAACGACATTCATCAGTAACTGAAGGATTATAAGTTTGCTTTTAACAATTCCAGTAAAACTACAAAATTGCACCTATTCGGACTAAACTTATGGGTTATCATCCTTCTTATAGGACGCATCGTTAATAATATTTTGAAACTTAGTCAGAAAAAGCATTCCTTAGTTACTGAGCAAAAATGAATGTCACCATCAAATAAATAAAATTTTTAAATAGGGATTTATATCATTATTATAATTATGGGGAGCGCTAAACCCGTAGAATTATACAGCTCATGTTGAGGGGGATTGAAGGTATTCAGGCTCAGTTCAAGGAACCAGAGCACAGATCCAATTCCCTAGATCAAGAGCCCCTCACCAGCGCCAAGGAACCTCCCTTGAGGAGTTCAGGGATTTATAACAGCCAACAGCTGTGCGAGTCATGCGCCCGGCAGTCACGTCTGTGGCGAAAATTGGAAGCCGATCAGATGAATCATTAACCAGTTGTGGCACGAATTCTTTAATTTTTTTATTTGCTCTTAAACTACATCAACAAATTTGCCTGCACGCGAACCAAAGCGTAATTAATCGAGCTCTCTGGAGATCTATAGTTAAGTGTAAGAGAGCTTGACTTAGTGTCATTGGAGCTCAAGTTCTTTTTCCATGCTGGAAAAAGAGGCAGGGGTGTATAAAATTAAGGGTTAGTGGGGTATAGGTTAGTTTCACTTCAAAATTTAGAGAACTTAGAGCAAGAAAGTCAGCCCCTTGGCCTGGTGGCTAAAGCTCTTGTTTCACACGGCGAGGATCCGGGTTCAATTCCCGGTGAGGGTAGAAACATTGGGCGTGTTTCCTTACACCGGTTGTCTATGTTCCCCATCAGTAAAATAGACACCTGGGTGTTAGTCGATTAGTGTGGGTCGCATCCTGGGACAAAACTAACCTAATTTGCCCGAAATGCTCTGCATAACAAGCGGATTTCTATATAGTAGTATGTCACTGATGTCAGCTAGGACTGTATACCTTGTACATGTACTTGTAGAAATAGATATTATATTATTATAAGAGTGAGTGTGTTGGGGCGGTTCAAATGTCGGAAATGGGTCCTGCGTGCTCTTTGGTAGGACACTTCTTAATAAATGTTGGACGGCCAGTACGACCTCACAGTTCTCAAAGAGTGGCGCCTCTTGTTTCTCCATGTGATATCAATGAGTGAGGCGCGTGTCCAGTGCATAAGCGTGAGAGTGTGGTTTCACCAGTCCCGACGACGGTGCGAAGGAGATGGACAAAATCCTGAACGTGGTTTAGTAAAAGACAGTTTGTTGCGGTCCAGAGAGGACCAACATTGTTGCCAGCATTGTGAAGGTGGTGAGAGAGCACTAAAAATAAGTTGTCCGAGAAGAATAATCCTACGGGAAATATGAAGGTCTTGTATAGCTGACCGAGCCGATGTTCATTGCTCTGAACATCGGTATGTGCAGGAATGTATACGAAGGACGATGTATACAAAGGACGATGGGATGACGGGAGTCGAATTTCTGGAAAGCCTGTAAGGCAATTTGGGATTCCGAAACATCTACGAATGACATGGTGGACGTGGTCGTACTCTGGATGATGGCAGTGAGAATTATAACTTTGCTGTGACGATGCTAGTAATTGACCTCTGATGATTCGTTATGAAAAAAAAAAACAGGGGATTTAGAACCATCAGTGTGCAAGCAATAGCATAAGGATGGGACTGGAAGTGATCAAGAAAGAGTGAACGTAAAGCTGTAGGAGGCAAGTGAGCTTTTGTGCATGGAAGTGTGAGGTACAGCAAACATGAATCATTGGAATTGCCCAAGGAGGGAGGGGAAAAACGAGAGGCAAGGTGAGTACAAAGATGCAGTACAATCTATCAGCAATCTAAAAATACCTCGACTACTGGATCGTGACGCTGCATGTGAAAAACATGCAGCGTCGCTGATATAAAAGACCCAAAGAAACTGCCTGTTGCAGGCAGTACTGACAAGATGGCCCGGTTAGTGCCGCTGCTGCTGGGCGCGGCCCTGCTGAGCCCAGGGCTCGCGGAAATCTTCCCTCGTCGTGTCTGTGGGGAAATCGAAGGCGACATTTACCAATTCTCAGCCAATTTGCTGGAGAATGGAACTGAAGTCAGCTTGGAAGAGTACAGGGGCAAGGTGGGTAGTTATCACGATACAGATACGTTAACTTCAGTTTTAATTTTTTTCACTCTTTGGAGGTTGTCCCCATTATTATTATTTATTTCTCTAAATTAATCTTAATTAATAATCATTTTAGGAGTAATATGCATCTGGCTGTTTCATTATATACATTTTATCCTTTGGCTATTACGTAACTCATGTAGTATTCATGCACCGCTCATTAAATCAAACCAATGCAGGAAATATTGTTCTAACACCCTTGATTTGTATTAATTATTTCCTTTTCTTGCACTTCTGGAGTTGAAACTTATGGTAAATAACATATATTTTATCTTCAAGTTTATACGCTCTTAGAGAAAACATCTTTGCAGTGCTTGTCTACACATTAAATACACCTTATTTTCCATGCCAAATTTTCGCTTGTTTATCCTCGCCCACCAACAGACGGTGTAATGTGTGTTTGTCCCACAGGTGGTGTTGGTGGTCAATGTGGCCACCTATTGAGGACTCACCGTGGCCTCTTACACCCAAATGAATGCACTTGCGGAGTTCTACGTCGATGAGGACTTCGTAATCCTTGGCTTTCCTTGCAATCAGTTTGGACTGGTAACGTTAACAAATAATTAATATTTATGTACAAGGACTTTTCTTCTGTGTTATATATTATCAATTACGTTATAAGACCTACATATTTAGCAGATCTAGGCAATGTATATTTCTTAGCCATCTTTATCATAATGTTAAAACGTTTTCCTTTCTAAAAACAGCAAGAGCCGGGAAACAACAGCGAGATATTGAACGATGTCCGCTATGTCCGTCCAGGCGGTGGATTTGAGCCTCTGATGACCTTCTTTGAGAAGATTGATGTGAACGGCAATAATGAGCACCCACTCTTTACATTCCTGAAGGTGAGTTCAAGTATATTTTAATTGTTTTGTAGAATTCAGAGGAAAGCTGTTCATCTCATCACTGCACTGACCTCACATGTAATCTTGAATCTTAGCTTCCAACTACAAAACTGCACCACTTCCAATAGTTTCAATTTAGGAACTTGTGAACTGTACACTTTTCTTCGAATATAGTCAAATAATACATCCACTGCAATTTCTTCAAACTGATATTGGATCTTTGTTGGTAATGCCTTACAATCTTTTGCTTTTGCAATGCTTTATGGTAGACCTCTGTCTGTAAACGTTCATATTTCTTTACCTATTTCTTTCGAGTAAGCGTTAGTGAATAGGTAGCTTTGTTTTTTTCTGAACTATGATTAAATTTAATATTTGTCTGGTTCCCATTCAGAGTGCCTGTGAGACTACGTTCACGGAGTTCGACTCAGATCTCTTTTATGAGCCCCTAAGAATTGGGGATCTTCAGTGGAACTTCGAGAAGTTCCTGATCAGTAGAGATGGCAAGCCGTACTCACGCTACCATCCAATTGTTGTAGATCCTGATGCGCTCAAGGATGACATCAACACTCTTCTCAACGCTTAGGACTTTCTCGAGGACTTCATTCTACTCGAGTGGACACCCACCTCCTATCCTTGGACTTCCAGCTGAAGTTCCGTAACATGTCCATGCCCATTCTCATACAGCATCCCGCCCATGACGACGCTGTCAAAAACCTTCAGGAGGGCAGCGTCTGAAGTAATATAGGGAAGTGTGGCCACTTGTGCATTCTGGCTGCCACTCTCCTGTCTGTGGGCTGCTGCAGAGGCTGGACTGGGCTGGACGGAGCCGCTGGAAGCCACATCTGCACCGTGAATATGAATGTTAATTTCCAATAAAACATTCCACTAAGCCGTTTTTTTTTTTTTGGTTAAAAAAAAAAAGTAACCAATGGAATAGGCTGTACGCGGGGGGGGGGAGACAAATATGAATGTAGTAAAAAATTATATTGATTAAGATTATTCATTCGACTAAAAAATCACAATGAAAATCACGCGAGAGTAACATCACAGCATTAATAAAATTATGAAAAAAATTAAATTTACGATTCTATTAAATTTGACAGGAGCTATAGACATAACTAATATATATATTCATAGTGGGAAACAAATATTTTATTTTTCTTATTGCTACCAACATTATACTTATTAAAATAATTCGGAAACTTTTCTCATTTTTCAAAAGGTTTTAAAAGTTAGGAAAGGATCGAAAACAATCTTGCACTTAAGTCTGCTGAGACTTAGTACAATACTTAAGACATTATTTGTAACATTAAACTTCTAACAATTAAAGATACAGAAGCGGTGGAAGTAGTGGTTGTAGCAGAGGTGGTAATGGTGGTGGTAGTGGTGGTGGTAGCGGTGGTGGTAGTAGTGGTGGTGACAGTGGTGGTGACAGTGGTGGTGACAGTGGTGGTGACAGTGGTGGTGACAGTGGTGGTAACAGTGATGGTGGTGGTGGTGGTAGTAGTAGTGGTGGTGGTGGCAACAGTGGTGGTAACAGGGGAAAAGCAGGTGAGCCACAGCTACTGTACGAGAGCTCTGAGTGAATATTCGTGGGCCTAGACTCTTTTAATATGCTACCAGCAGCTATCAGAAATATTACTGGAACCAGTATGGAGGTCTTCAAGATGAATCAACTGGATCACTACCTCTGCGATGAGCAAGATCAACTAAGTTGTGATGAATATGTGGGCTGGCAGGCTGCCAACATCAACATCTTGGTCAACCGGGGAATCACCAGGGATGCTTGTCGGGCCCGGCCGCGGAGTAGGAAAACTGCCAGAAACAAATCACAAGTAAATCGCAAGTGGATCGATATTAACTAGGATTTTATATCTTCAGGCAACTCTCGAGTGGTGGGAAAGATATATGAGATTAAACTACAGATGGGCAGGTCGCAGCTATCAATTCGACATGCAATAATTGCCATCACCCATCCCAAACAAAATAACTTACTGATGTCTTTTATCTAGAAGTGTAGAGGCGACCTGGGAATTATTCACCCAACGAGCATGAGAACCAGTGTCGTGAGATATCTCTGTAATTTGTTAAAGCGACTTGTAGTGGCCACCACAAGTATAGATTAACAATTTCAGGTCTGATCGAGACAGTTATTATGCATTGTGATGCACAAGTAGTTTAAAAGCAATGTTTTTTTAATATTTTACTAGTCATATTAATGTCAGTTAACCTAGGGTAGAATAAGAATTAATTATTAACTTTGTCCTTAAGCGTTGGGTCTCTCGCTAAACTTATATTTCCTGGTAACCAGTGATCACCAGCACGAGGGTTCATATTTCAGGATGACTAACCTTAGTGTCAAGCTTGCTAGGAGTCAGCCATCTGGGCGCAGTCAGCTCACACACTGAGGTCCGGGGTTCGAATCTCCTCCGGTACGGCTGGAAAAACATTAGGGACGTGTTTCCATAAGACACCTGCTGTCCCTGTCCCTGTTCACCCATCAGTTTCAAATGGGTACCTGGGTGTTAGTCGACTGGTGTGGGTCGCATCCTGGGACAAAGCTGACCTAACATGCCGGAAATGCTAAGCATAACAAGCGGCTTTCTATATAGTAGTATGTCATTGATGTCAGCTATGGTATGTATACCTTGTACATGTATTGTATAAAAGATAATATATATTAATATATTATTATATTAATAATAATTATTATTATTATTATTATTATTACTATTATTCCATGACTGGCGCTGGTCTTGTTGGTCCTTCGTCCACATTTATCCTGAAAGAATAAGTAAACATAGATTTTATTAGAGTAAACTTATCGCCTCACAAGTTCCCACAGCGATCCTCAAAATATTTATCATCAATCAATGCATTTTTACACATACTAAAATCATATACAGATATATACATGATGTTTCACTCGTAGGAGGCCCTGAGTTGGTACTCCCGTGGCTGCAACCATCTTGTTTGTATATTATATTTGCAGTAAATGATATCGTTTACTACAGACATAATATTCAAACAAGATGGATGCAACTACGGGAGTACCAGCTCAGGGCTTCATACAATGAAACACCCTGTATAAATGTATTCTTACGTATAAAATGTTGTATTAGAACAAAATGTTGCGGTGATAATGAGAAGCTTATCCATTCATCTAATATACGTAATTGGTCTAGTTTATGTCCATAACAACTGAGAAATATAAATATTATAATGGTGAATATTATAATTGTCAGTGGCTACGATGGTCGACTTGCAAGGTCTCAGTGTGGGAGTGATGGTGGTGTTAGCGTGAGGCTGAGCAGGTGTCTTCCCGGACAGGTGGAGAGCAACTGCCTCTGTCATGTACTCGTTCACTATTTTAGTTATTGTGAAACTACACAATATATTTGCTCGCTAATATATCCTTGAAGTATGTGGGAACAGTAATATGAATTATATTAAAAAATATGTAGAGTTAATATTAAAATCATGACTATTATTTATGGAATTGTTTGTAAATTATATTGTATAGTGGAATCAATATAAAAAAAAGATTAAACCCAACAGTTGCATAAGTTTTTTAACTATATTAGTAAATTGGCTAATACAGCCTAAACTTATAGAGTATCATACTTTTTTAAAAGGAGCATCATCAAAATTGGTACCTACTCACTCCACTAACAATCCCAATCATTCTCAAGGTAGGGTACATTAGTGGTAAAAGTTTGAAGCTGATCAGGAATGGTCTATATAAAATTTACGAGAGGGCACCTGTAGATACCAATAGTTGCATGAACCTTTCCATAGTTAGAGCATACCAGCTTCGAAAATTTGGAGCCAGTCGAAAGAAGCATTATCATGTTATAAACAAAAATATTGTGGAAAGGCAAAAATCAAACAATCGCTTAAAGGTACCCTTAGGGACTACCTTCAGATGCTTTTAGAGTATTGGAAAATGGAGAGCACTCAGACTGCTGAGTCCAGCACCGGTAAGACAGAGATGGCTGCTGTCCTTGCCAGCCAAAGGGTCATGACTACCCTGCCTTCACGTATGCTCTTAGATATCACTGCTTTGCCGTGCCTCTGTCTCAGGTGATTTTTCACTGACGAAAAAAAAAAGCTGAAGGGGGACAATCACGGGTGGTGTCTCACAGGCTACTGTCTTAGGACCTTCATTATTCATAATATTTGTTAGTGATTACAATATTTGACCACAAAGCAATGTATGTAGATTCTCAGACGTTACTGAAGAACGTAATGTACTAAAAAATTCGGGCAGAAAATTAAGTAATGCTTCTCCGTGTTGACAAAAACCACAACCATGAATAAAAAAAAGAGTGACACTGGATGTGGACTCGAAATTGTACCAGACACTTATAAATCTTATCGAAAAATGGGTCTGGTAATGATGATTAATATTGTCCTCAAATCAAGACAGCATTTATTGGTTTTATATTTTGAAGATGTATTATAAACACTATTGTTTATAATACATTTTGTATTATTTTACTTAATTTTGTATACAACACTACGTTATGGATTTTTTTTTTCAGATATATAAAGGACAACATTACTGTACCTATGCATCATTTGTTTCTTTTATAAATATATATTTTAAGAAGATAAAAAATTATTGAAATGATTAAAGAAGAGAGTGAAATGTAGAGAGAGTGGATCGACACCATGCCTAACCCTTCTAGGGCAGGGTAGGTGCCTGAGCCCGAGCCTTTAGCTCATAAGACTGTCATTCCCATTTGCCCCCTTGGGGAGGGGATGGCAGACCAGAGAGGCCTAGCTTGTGGCTAGGCCTGGGGTACAGTTGGTCCCAAAGATGAGGAGGTACTTGTGCCTCCTCCCATGAGAGACTTAGGTCTCAGACACTCCCTAAAGAGGGAGCCAAGGCCGGGCCACCACTTGGAAAAGGCCCGGGCCGGGAGAATACCGGCTAATCTTTAATAATAATAAATAATAATAATAGAGAGAGTGATGAACTAAACAGTGAGTTATGAAAATAAAGTGATGAAAATATCCAATTATGGTAGAAACCGTAACAATGTATTACATTTAAACAGATGTGGATTCAGTAAAAGATATAGATGTGAAGTGATTTTGATTGAATTATTATAGATATGTGTAAGACATTGACGAACAGCGTTAATTGATATACAGTAACTGATTCGTTATGAAAACGATAATCATACAATAATCATGGTTGGTCTGGTGTTGTTCATTAGAACTACTGTAATAACTTTTAAGGGAAATTATGTTATCCCTTATTGTTTCTCTGATTGATCCACCTGAACAATCTGAAGCCATTACACGTAATACATTCCTGCGTCTGAACACCTGTAATACATTCCTGCGTCTGAACACCTGTAATACATCCCTGCGTCTAAACACCTGTAATACATCCCTGCGTCTGAACATCTGTAATACATCCCTGTGTCTGAAGACCTGTAATACATCCCTGCGTCTGAACACCTGTAATACATCCCTGCGTCTGAACACCTGTAATACATCCCTGCGTCTGAACACCTGTAATACATCCCTGCGTCTGAACACCTTAATACATTCCTGCGTCTGAACACTGTAAAACATCCCTGCGTCTGAACACCTGTAATACATCCCTGCATCTGAACACCTGTAATACATCCCTGCATCTGAACACCTGTAATACATCCCTGCGTCTGAACACCTTCAATACGTCCCATATGTTAAAACAAATTGAATAATGCACACACATAATACATCAAGTGCCTGAACAACTTGTACACAGCACACGTGATGCATTCGGTGCGTCTATACAACTTGTGTAATGTCATCGCCAGACAGACACTGCCGTACTAGATTCCTGAGAGACAGATGCAGAATTTTCTCTGCTTTACTCATTACCAATCATAGTCAATGAAAAAGTCTACAAATGAAACATGTCGCCCACTGCACCTGGCTCATATGTCCTTCACATAGATGAAGGACATCTATGTGAAGGACAGACGGTGCTACATATAAATGAGCACCAGAAGATACCTATTACAGGCAGTGTTGGCACCATGACCCGGTTACTGCCGCTGCTGCTGAGTGCTGCCCTGCTGAGCCCAGGGCTCGCGGATATCATACCTCGTCGTGAATGCGGGGAAATTGAAGGCGACATTTACCAGTTCTCGGCCAATTCGCTGGAGAATGGAACTAACGTCAGTTTTGAGGAGTTCAGAGGCAAGGTGGGTAGCTATTATGTTGCAAGGTTATGTTTACATTAGTATTACCTCATAATTATTTATTGATCATTGTAGCAGGTAGGATATAAACACTGGCTGTCTGAAGAAAGTAATAAAAAATAGTCATGATTTATTTTAATTTTGTCCTTAACCATTGCAACAGAAGAATTTTCAAATCTCAGAGCAATGTAACATTGCCGTATTGCGCTGTTTCTGAAAACATTTCGCGTTCAGATACAAAAATTCTCTCATAAAAATCTTTAGATTGAATGTGTGATGTGTGTGTTTGTGTGTTCTGCAGGTGCTGTTGGTGATCAACTTGGCCACCTACTGCTCACGAACCATAATCTCTTACAACCAAATGAATGCACTCGCCGAGTTCTACGTAGATGAGGACTTCGAAATTCTGGGCTTTCCCTGCAATCAGTTTAATTTGGTAACATGTATAACAATAGAATTTGTTTATGGAATCGTCATTTGTTTCACATAGTTTAGTTTTTAAAATATGCAGCATCAGCAGGTCTCTATAAATATGATATTTCTTGCTCATCTCTATTTTTTGAACACAGCACGAACAGGGAGCCAATAGTGAGATCATGAACGGTATCCGATATGTTCGTCCAGGTGACGGATTTGAGCCTCTGATCACCATGTTTGAGAAGACTGAGGTGAATGGCAATAATGAGCACCCACTCTTTACATTCTTAAAGGTAAGTTAACAAACAATCTACTTATCTAATCAGTACACATGAGTCCACATCTAACGTTGAATTACAACTCACAACCAAAAGAGTTGGGTGTATGTCTTAAGTCTCTAATTATATGACTGAACTCTTACGAACGTGTGAGCTGTATATTTATTTTTACGTATGGTGGCACTAATGGTGTATGTTTGATTATGTTATGCTGTTTCATTTTGCTTATGTTAGCCTCACTGTTAACCAAAGTTCCACTCAGTATCTTCCTTGACACTGTTAGCCACCACTCCTCCAAGAGGCGTCCGTGTACTTGTCTTAGAAGACAACTGATGCTCGTAACTATATTTCTTCTGTCTAAGAATTTAAGAATAGGCAAGTTGGCCTCTTCTTTGGCCAGTTCTAATTTTTGAACATTATTAACTTTGATACTTGTTTGGGTTTTATTTAGAGTGCTTGCGAGTCTACATACACTGAGTTCTACTCTGGCCTCTTTTATGAGCCCATAAGAATTGGAGACATTCAATGGAACTTCGAGAAATTCCTGATTGGTAAAGATGGCAAGCCTTACGTACGCTACCATCCAACAGTTGAAGATCCCGAGGACCTCAAGGATGACATCAACACTCTTCTCAACGCTTAAAACCTTCTCGAGGACTTCACTCTCTTCGTGAGGACACCACCTCCTAACCTTGGACTTCCAACTGAGTTTCCGCAAGCTGCCTTTGTCCATTCTCATGCAGCATCCCGCCTATGATGATGCTGAAGAGTGTGGCCACTTGTGCATTCTGGCTGCCACTTTCCTGCCTATGGGATGCCGCAGCGGCTGGGCTGGACGAGGTCACTCGAAGCCAAAGATACTGATCAGTACTACAATTATAAAATAGTAATTAAAAACATGTCATCAAGCAGCTATTTTGTATACATTAACTTACATCTATACACATTAAAATGGTAGAGGGGTCGAATCAGACGAAAATACCTACAGAAAATATAAATCAGTAATGATTAAAATGTTGCATAAAAACATTAAAAATAATTTGCATTAAACTGGTGTGGGACTCAGCACCCAATAATACATGCTAATGAAATATTTCTGTATTGACCGTCGTATTTATTTTTAAGAATAAGAAGAGTGTTTCATTACAGTTGACATCTTAACCAAAAATGGGAAAAGAAGTCAAACCTTTGACTTAGGCAAAACCCATAGGCTCATTATCACATTGAAGAGAAGATACACATGCAAAATAAGATAAACATGAAAAATAAGATACACAATGAAAAATAAGATACACATGCAAAATAAGATACAAATACAAAATAAGCTTTTATTGGAAAAACGTTTCTCTCTCTATCTTAGAATTTTATTGGATCGTTAAATAAGCAAAAGGAATTATTATTTCCTTCCACAGTACATCACAGAGTACTGATACAAGGTTGTGCACACCACCATGTGTACTGATACAAGGTTGTGCACACCACCATGTGTACTGATACAAGGTTGTGCACACCACCATGTGTACTGATACAAGGTTGTGCACACCACCATGTGTACTGATACAAGGTTGTGCACACCACCATGTGTACTGATACAAGGTTGTGCACACCACCATGTGTACTGATACAAGGTTGTGCACATCACCATGTGTACTGATACAAGGTTGTGCACACCACCATGTGTACTGATACAAGGTTGTGCACACCACCATGTGCACTGATACAAGGTTGTGCACACCACCATGTGTACTGATACAAGGTTGTGCACATCACCATGTGTACTGATACAAGGTTGTGCACATCACCATGTGTACTGATACAAGGTTGTGCACATCACCATGTGTACTGATACATGGTTGTGCACATCACCATGTGTACTGATACAAGGTTGTGCACATCACCATGTGTACTGATACAAGGTTGTGCACATCACCATATGTACTGATACAAGGTTGTGCACATCACCATGTGTACTGATACAAGGTTGTGCACATCACCATGTGTACTGATACAAGGTTGTGCACATCACCATGTGTACTGATACAAGGTTGTGTACTTCACCATGTGTACTGATACAAGGTTGTGCACACCACCATGTGTACTGATACAAGGTTATGCACATCACCATGTGTACTGATACAAGGTTGTGCACATCACCATGTGTACTGATACAAGGTTGTGTACACCACCATGTGTACTGATACAAGGTTGTGCACATCACCATGTGTACTGATACAAGGTTGTGCACATCACCATGTGTACTGATACAAGGTTGTGCACATCACCATGTGTACTGATACAAGGTTGTGCACATCACCATGTGTACTGATACAAGGTTGTGCACATCACCATGTGTACTGATACAAGGTTGTGCACATCACCATGTGTACTGATACAAGGTTGTGTACACCACTATGTGTACTGATACAAGGTTGTGCACACCACCATGTGTACTGATACAAGGTTGTGCACATCACCATGTGTACTGATACATGGTTGTGCACACCACCATGTGTACTGTTTACAAGGTTGTGCACATCACCATGTGTACTGATACATGGTTGTGCACACCACCATGTGTACTGATACAAGGTTGTGCACACCACCATGTGTACTGATACAAGGTTGTGCACACCACCATGTGTACTGATACAAGGTTGTGCACACTACCATGTGTACTGATACATGGTTGTGCACACCACCATGTGTACTGATACAAGGTTGTGCACACCACCATGTGTACTAATACAAGGTTGTGCACACCACCATGTGTACTGATACATGGTTGTGCACACCACCATGTGTACTGATACAAGGTTGTGTACACTACCATGTGTACTGATACATGGTTGTGCACACCACCAGGTGTACTGATACAAGGTTGTGCACACCACCATGTGTACTAATACAAGGTTGTGCACACCACCATGTGTACTGATACAAGGTTGTGCACACCACCATGTGTACTGATACAAGGTTGTGCACACTACCATGTGTACTGATACATGGTTGTGCACACCACCATGTGTACTGATACAAGGTTGTGCACACCACCATGTGTACTAATACAAGGTTGTGCACACCACCATGTGTACTGATACAAGGTTGTGCACACCACCATGTGTACTGATACAAGGTTGTGCACACTACCATGTGTGCTGATACAAGGTTGTGCACACTACCATGTGTACTGATACAAGGTTGTGCACACTACCATGTGTACTGATACAAGGTTGTGCACACTACCATGTGTACTGATACAAGGTTGTGCACACCACCATGTGTACTGATACAAGGTTGTGCACACTACCATGTGTACTGATACAAGGTTGTGCACACCACCATGTGTACTGATACAAGGTTGTGCACACTACCATGTGTACTGATACAAGGTTGTGCACACCACCATGTGTACTGATACAAGGTTGTGCACACCACCATGTGTACTGATACAAGGTTGTGCACACCACCATGTGTACTGATACAAGGTTGTGCACACCACCATGTGTACTGATACAAGGTTGTGCACACCACCATGTGTACTGATACAAGGTTGTGCACACCACCATGTGTACTGATACAAGGTTGTGCACACCACCATGTGTACTGATACAAGGTTGTGCACACCACCATGTGTACTGATACAAGGTTGTGCACACTACCATGTGTACTGATACAAGGTTGTGCACACCACCATGTGTACTGATACAAGGTTGTGCACACCACCATGTGTACTGATACAAGGTTGTGCACACCACCATGTGTACTGATACAAGGTTGTGCACACCACCATGTGTACTGATACAAGGTTGTGCACACCACCATGTGTACTGATACAAGGTTGTGCACACCACCATGTGTACTGATACAAGGTTGTGCACATCACCATGTGTACTGATACAAGGTTGTGCACACCACCATGTGTACTGATACAAGATTGTGCACATCACCATGTGTACTGATACAAGGTTGTGCACACCACCATGTGTACTGATACAAGGTTGTGCACACCACCATGTGTACTGATACAAGGTTGTGCACACTACCATGTGTACTGATACAAGGTTGTGCACACTACCATGTGTACTGATACAAGGTTGTGCACACTACCATGTGTACTGATACAAGGTTGTGCACACTACCATGTGTACTGATACAAGGTTGTGCACATCACCATGTGTACTGATACAAGGTTGTGCACATCACCATGTGTACTGATACAAGGTTGTGCACATCACCATGTGTACTGATACAAGGTTGTGCACATCACCATGTGTACTGATACAAGGTTGTGCACACCACCATGTGAACTGATACAAGGTTGTGCACATCACCATGTGTACTGATACAAGGTTGTGCACACCACCATGTGTACTGATACAAGGTTGTGCACACCACCATGTGTACTGATACAAGGTTGTGCACACCACCATGTGTATTGATACAAGGTTGTGCACACCACCATGTGTACTGATACAAGGTTGTGCACATCACCATGTGAACTGATACAAGGTTGTGCACACCACCATGTGTACTGATACAAGGTTGTGCACACCACCATGTGAACTGATACAAGGTTGTGCACATCACCATGTGAACTGATACAAGGTTGTGCACATCACCACGTGGACTGACACAAGGTTGTGCACACCACCATGTGTACTGATACAAGGTTGTGCACATCACCATGTGAACTGATACAAGGTTGTGCACACCACCATGTGTACTGATACAAGGTTGTGCACACCACCATGTGTACTGATACAAGGTTGTGCACACCACCATGTGTACTGATACAAGGTTGCGCACACCACCATGTGAACTGATACAAGGTTGTGCACACCACCATGTGTACTGATACAAGGTTGTGCACACCACCATGTGTACTGATACAAGGTTGTGCACACCACCATGTGTACTGATACAAGGTTGTGCACACCACCATGTGTACTGATACAAGGTTGTGCACACCACCATGTGCACTGATACAAGGTTGTGCCACCACCATGTGTACTGATACAAGGTTGTGCACACCACCATGTGTACTGATATAAGGTTGTGCACACCACCATGTGTACTGATACAAGGTTGTACACACCACTATGTGTACTGATACAAGGTTGTGCACACCACCATGTGTACTGATACAAGGTTGTGCACACCACCATGTGTACTGATACAAGGTTGTGCACACCACCATGTGTACTGATACAAGGTTGTGCACACCACCATGTGTACTGATACAAGTTGTGCACACCACCATGTGCACTGATACAAGGTTGTGCACACCACAATGTGTACTGATACAAGGTTGTGCACACCACCATGTGTACTGATACAAGGTTGTGCACACCACCATGTGCACTGATACAAGGTTGTGCACACTACCATGTGCACTGATACAAGGTTGTGCACACCACCATGTGTACTGATACAAGGTTGTGCACATCACCATGTGTACTGATACAAGGTTGTGCACATCACCATGTGTACTGATACAAGGTTGTGCACATCACCATGTGTACTGATACAAGGTTGTGCACACCACCATGTGAACTGATACAAGGTTGTGCACATCACCATGTGTACTGATACAAGGTTGTGCACACCACCATGTGTACTGATACAAGGTTGTGCACACCACCATGTGTACTGATACAAGGTTGTGCACACCACCATGTGTATTGATACAAGGTTGTGCACACCACCATGTGTACTGATACAAGGTTGTGCACATCACCATGTGAACTGATACAAGGTTGTGCACACCACCATGTGTACTGATACAAGGTTGTGCACACCACCATGTGAACTGATACAAGGTTGTGCACATCACCATGTGAACTGATACAAGGTTGTGCACATCACCACGTGACTGACACAAGGTTGTGCACACCACCATGTGTACTGATACAAGGTTGTGCACATCACCATGTGAACTGATACAAGGTTGTGCACACCACCATGTGTACTGATACAAGGTTGTGCACACCACCATGTGTACTGATTACAAGGTTGTGCACACCACCATGTGTACTGATACAAGGTTGCGC